TCAGTTTATATACATTGATATGAGTCTCTTGGCAGGTGAACTTCGCTATCCACGCCTTGACTTATCAATCCGAGGTGAATTTGAAGCGGGCCCTCGCAGCTGAAGAGTCTTCCCGCAAGGCCCATACCAAGCTGAACTTAGCCCGCAACGATAATAACCAGCTGAAGAAGGATGTGCGGGCTAAGAAAGAGTTGATCACGCTACTAATGTCTGAGAAGAAGGAGCTCGCGGAGCGGGAGGCAACGCTGAAGAGGGAGGTGGAGAACCTCGAGGCTCATGTGAAGGAGCGGACCGGGATACTTCTTCAAGCAGTAGAGGAGGCCAAGGTTAAGGTCGTCGAGGAGTACAAGACTTCGGAGGAGTACCGGAAGGAGATGATCGAGGTGGGGACAGCGAGCTACCGCAAGGGTTTTAAACTTAGTAGGTGGCTGACCAGACGCGACTTCCCCCAGCTCAACCTCAGTGTTATTACTACCTCGAGGATAACAAAAGAAATGGCCGCCAAAGTTGTTGAGGATCCAGAATCTGAAGTAGAAAGCGACAACGACCTGTTCAATGATGTTGAGGAGACCGGCGCTGGTGAGAGCTGCATGAAGACGGACCCTCCTGTCGAAGCCTCGGGCAAGGGCGAGGAGCCCCGAGATGACTAGAAACCTCTTCCTTGATCCTTTATAATGTATACCCCGAGCCTCCGAGCTCAGTTCATAGTGGAAGTTTTCTTTTTTCTTCTTTTTTGTACTCAATTTTACATCAATGAAATATAAGCATTTTGACTCTCTGTGCAAAACTTTCTAAGTGTAAACAACTCCCGAACTGGTGAACTAAACCACATAGGAGCAAAAATTTATCAATGTTGGTTGCCCCGAACTGTCAAGCTAACGAGCTGGATTACGTGTAGGGATAACCGAAGTAGATTTTTTCTAAGTGTTGGATACCCCGAACTGTCGTGCTAATGAGCTAGACTTCGAGTAGGGGTAACTTCGCATTATTGTATGCCGAGGTGGGCGAACATTGTAGGGTATATACCCGACCTGTTTGCACACGGGCTACTCGCTTAGGTGTCGATTATCCCTTAGTGGCAAGCCGTCGAGCCTGACCTCAAATGGGATCAACCTGTTGTTATATACTGAGGTGGGCTAGACGTCGTAGGGTTTGTGCCCAATCTGTCTATGCCTTGGGCATGAAAACCAATTTGCCTATGTCGAAGAGGCGACTGGGACTTATCGTAGTGCCGAGGTCTTATGTCATCTCGGCATCACGGCCCTTGGACCCCTAGGAGTGACTCGCAGTCCTCTCTCCAGTTCAGTGATCACAAGTAGTATCTTCTTAGGTTGTCAATGTTCCACGCTCGAGGTACTTGCTTCCTTTCCAGAGTCTCGAGCTCGTACGTACCTTCCCCATATACCTGTCTTACTCGGTACGGACCTTTCAAATTTGGTCCAAGCTTATCGACATGGGGCTCAGGTACCATAATCCAAAGAACCAGGTCGTCGATGCAAAAATGTCGCTTCTTGTCCCAGGCGTTATAATACCGAGCTACCCTCTGTTGGTAAGCTATTGTCCGGATGAATGCTAGGTCTCGTACTTCTTCCACCAGGTCTAGGTTAGTACGGAGCTCGTCATCATTCGTCTCTTCGTCATAGGCCTCCAAGCATAGTGTAGGCAACTTGATCTCTGCTGGGATCATCGCTTCTTTGTCGTAAGTGAGGTTAAAAGAAGTCTCACATGTGGTAATCTTGATGATAGTCCGATAGGCCCAGAGTACACTAGGTAGTTCGTCTACCTACAATCCTTTGGCTTGAGCTAAGCGAGCTTTCAGTCCGTGGAGTATGACTCTGTTGGTGACTTCCACTTGCCCGTTTGCCTGGGGTGTGCCACCAAGGTGAAATTTTGCTGAATTCTCATTTCGGCACACCAATTTTGAAATTTTATATCCTTGAACTGCTTCCCGTTGTCGGAGATGAGTAACCGAGGGAGCCCGAAGCGACACACTATGTTATTCCAAAAGAAGTTTTGTATGTTGTGGGCTATGATTTTTGCTAGCGGTTCAGCTTCCACCCACTTCGTGAAATAGTCTACTGCCACGACCAGAAACTTCCTCTGTCCTGTTGTTGGCGGGAATAGGCCAAGTATGTCGATTCCCCACTGTGCGAAGGGCCACGGGCTAGTGAGGTATTTCAGGTCGGCAGCAGGTTGGTGGTAGATGCTAGCGTGCCTTTGACACTTATCGCACTTCTTGATGAGCTCGAGTGTGTCTGCTTTTATCGTAGGCCAGTAGTAGCCCTGCCATAATGGCTTCTGTGTGAGAGCCCTACCCCCCAAGTGTCCGCCGCATAACCCTTCATGGGTGTCGCGGAGTACATACCCGGCCTCTAAGGGTCGCAAGCAGCGCAAGTAGGGGAGCGTGAAGGACGTTTTGTACAGTTGTCTGTCTATAATGACGTACTTAGCCAATTGACGCTCTACCCTTTGGGCTGCACTGCGTTCTGCAAGGAGGTCCCGTGAAGCAGGTAACTTACGAGTGGGTCGATCCAGCTCGGTTCTCCTTGTTCTTCAA